GTGGCATTTATTGTGACTCACCTGATCACAAGTGACCTTTTCCACGATGACTGAAACAGAACAAATCTCTTTGTGCCTGGAATCACGGAGTCTTTGGGTTGGAAAAGCCCTGGGAGGAGATCACCGAGCCCAACCATCCCCCAGCACTGCCACGGCCACCAGTGCCCCATGTCCCCAAGTGCCACATCCACGCAGCTTTTAACTCCTTCTGCTGTGGACAACCTCAGAGCTGGGAATTAAACTGCCAGAGGGCAGGGCTGGATGGGATTTGGGACAGGAATTGTTCCCTGGCAGGGTGGGCAGGCCCTGGCACAGGGTGCCCAGAGCAGCTGGGGCTGCCCCTGGATCCCTGGCAGTGCCCAAGGCCAGGCTGGACACTGGGACAGTGGGAGGTGTCCCTGCCATGGCAGGGGTGACACTGGAGGGGCTCTGGGGTCCCTCCCAGCCCAACCCAAACCACCCCAACCCAGCCCAGCCCTTCCCAGCCCATTCTATGCCTTTGCAATGTTTTTTTGGAGCTGTTTTAATGCCTAAGCCGTGGGAATTTCCCCATTTGCAATGGCAAGGGGAAAATGCAGCAGCTCTTGGGAATGACCTGGCCCTTCCCAGCTCCAAACTGCAGCTCCTGTTCCAGAGCAGGTTGGAGCCACCTGGATGTCCCTGCTCCTTCCCTGCTCTCCCTGTGGGCTGGAGATGGCCCCGTTTGATTTTATTTCTGCTTTTACCCCCAGGCTCTTCTCTCCTCCCTGATCAGGAATTGCCCTCCCTGCCGGGGCCTGGGGGGCTCCTGGCCAGCTGTGCTTTCCTGCTGCCCTTTCCCTGCTGCCCTTTCCCTGCTGCCCTTTTCCTGCTGCCCTTTTCCTGCTGCCCTTTTCCTGCTGCCCTTTTCCTGCTGCCTTTTCCTGCTGCCTTTCCCTGCTGCCCTTTTCCTGCTGCGTTTTCCTGCTGCCCTTTTCCACCTCCTCCTTTTCCTGCTGCCCTTTTCCTGCTGCGTTTTCCTGCTGCCTTTTCCTGCTGCCCTTTTCCCCCTCCTCCTTTTCCTGCTGCCCTTTTCCACCTCCTCCTTTTCCTGCTGCCCTTTTCC